GCGAACTCGGTGGTATTAACCGTGTGCTTCCTGGGCTGCCGCGGGTGGCGAAAGCCCAGGATTCGTCCTGATTGTTGCGGTGTCCCCGGCCGCCGGCGCAGACCTCCGGGGCTGGCTGGCTGCGGCCCGGGAGAGACAAAGAAAGAGCGATCCAGAGAGGGACCCAGGGAAGGGGGCCGGGGAGAGAGAGACCCAGGCAGACAAAGGGCGGCGGGGACCCCAGACGGGGCGGGGCGCCGGGATCGGGAAACAAAGCCCAGCTGGTCTGTGGGCCGAGGCCCTGGGCGGGGGTGCGGTGGGGGCTGGGCGGGGGGACCCTGGCGGGAGCCGAGGCCACCGGGAGGCGCCAGGTCCGGGCTTCCGGGGCCAGGCAGACGGACGGGCCGACCTGCGAGAGCGGCTGCGATCCCCAGCCAGAGCCTCGGTCCTCACGAAGGAACCCCGAGGCCGGGAGGACAGCGGCTGACCAAAAGTACAGGAACAAACCATCTGCCGCCAGAGACAGGAAATGTAAACATATACAAGACGGATACGAAGTCTTTGAAGCGGAGGGCCAGGAGCAATAAGAAACAGAGGCGGGGTGGGGGCGGGGGAAGTCGGGGAACCTGGAGGGAAAACGGCCCAGAGACCCCGGAACAAAAGACTGCGTCAGTGAAGCAGGCAGAGACAAAGAGATAGACCCAAAGAGGCTGCCAGAAATTCGAGGGACAGGTCCGCAGCCCTGCAGAGGGCAACCCCAGGGAGAAGCTGAAGAATTAAACCCTGTTTGCATCCTGGTGGGGTCCTGACTAGGCTGTGATGGGGGGGGGGACACCCACCAACCCAAAATGATGATACTAGGATCTGTATTCAGGCAGGCTTGCTTCTGTAAGGGTGTGCTCCGTACTTCGGGCAAGGATGGAGAGGGCTAGGCATGTTTTCTGTGTTTTAATGTATTAGCACCTTAGTGCTAAGCCAGGAACTTAGGATAAAGGGTTCAATCAGAGGCAGTGTAGGGAGATTGAGGCAGGAGGATCATCACCCTAGTTTGAGGCTACCCTGGGCTACATAGTAAGACCCCCCAAAAATAAAAAATTTTAAAAAAGAAATCCTAGAAGATTAAAAATAATCCGTAATATCAAAAATTCTGATAGAGGGGCCGGGGAGATAACAGTGGAATAAGCACTTGCCTGGCAAGAGCCTGAGTTCAATCCCCGGTTCCTAAAAAAAAAAATCTGATAGAATCACAGCTATTGAAATCTTGGCAAAGAGAAAAAAAAAAGTCTTGGCAGGAAGAATTCCCAAAAGTACAATTCCAATTGGAAAGGGAGTAGAAAAGCAAGTTCTGAGAAGGGATTAATGTTTTTGTTTGTTTGCAGCAGTGAGGATTGAAACAAAGCCCTTTGCAATGAGCTATGTATCCTTGGCCCAGTTTTTTATTTTTGCTTTGAGATGGGGTTGCCCTAAATTGCTAGATTTCTCATGCTGGGCCCAAACTGATGATCCTCCTGCCTCAGCATTCCAAAGTCTTGCAATATTGTCTTCTTTTGAGACACAGGTGTCCAGAACTGGGCTCAAAAGATCCAGTCCTTCTAGGGTTGCTAGGTCTACGGGTATACATCAGCTCACCCTCTTTGAGAGTAGTGTATTTTTATTTGTATGTGTGTGTGTGTGTGTGTGTGGCCAGCTCAGCCCACCAGGGGGCGGGGCTGGCTGGCATGTGGTGCTGGGGGATTGAACTGCAGTCCCTGTGCTTTGCTTAGCTTAGCTTGTTCTAGGTAGGTGCTTTAGACCACTGAGCCATCTCACCAACCCCAGTAGTGTATTTTTAGTTGTATGTGGGATAGTTGCATCTCAGTGGATAGAAGGAACATATCTGGCGTAGTGATGTGTGCCCTTGATTGCTGCACTCCAGGAGGCTGAGGCAGGAGGATTGTAAACTCAAACTCAGCTTGGACAATTTAATAATTTAGGGAGACCCTGTCTCAAAAAAGAAAAAATGTTAAAGGGTCCAGTATGTGGCTTGATGCAGTGATCCTGGGTTCAATCTTCAGTCCCCAGTAAAGAAGGGGAACAAGAAGAAGAAACCTAGTAATCTAGAACCTAATAAGGCATTATTGGGGTGTGTCTGAGAGAAAGTTTTCAGAGATTACTGTGTAACCCCATGTAGACCAATGGGGAAGACTGAAGGCTGACGCTATCTGGTAGCCCGGGCACCCAGAGCAACAGATGTACAAGGCTAATGATCTGTCTCCAGTTGACAAATCCTGTTTCCTGCTGCCTTGGACATCACTGTCGCAGGCTGGCTGCTCTTTGGGTTCCAGGGCTTATACCAGGGTACAGCACTCCTTCAAGTGCTCCAAGAGTCAGTCTTAGACTGAAGATTTACACTGTTGGCCTCCTTTGTTCCAAGCTTTTAGACTTGGACTGACTGTGCTGCTAGCACCTGAGGTCTCCACGGGGCCTGTCACAGGACCTCCCAGCCACCGAATTCATGTTAACCAGGTCAGCTAAATCCTCAATCCATAATGACAGATTTACAAGCGGATGCAATCAGGCTAAAAGTTATTTCCAATGTACTTTTTTGTCTACTGGGCCTGAATATTTCACTCAACTGACTGAATTTGACGCATAATGTAGGAGACACTTCCAGGTCCTTGTCTGGCCCAAGAAGCCAATATTTGTAATCCCAAAGTTACATTATTGGAAGCCCATCAAACTGATGCCAGGGAGATGGCTCAGTAGGATAAGCGCTTGACTGACAAACGCAAGGATCTGAGTTCAATCCCCGGTTCTGCCAAAAAAAAAAAAAAAAAATTGATTCCAATCTACCACTTACAATGCAACCCATGGCGTAAATAAAGACACTAAATTATATCTTCAATGATCGGGGAGTCAAGGGGCTCTAAGTTCAGCCATGAAGATGGCTTTCTGGAACCAAGAGAGCGACCCAGGGCCTCACCTAGGTTTATTTAATGGGGGAGTGGCTTGAGGATTGACTGAGAATTGTGGGAGAGACTACTATGAGCTGAGCTAGGTGGGTCGCCTAAATTTACCTCTGCGATATGCAGAGAGAGTAATCTGCATTATGTAGTATCTAATGTTTGGTAAGTCTGGTGCTTCAGCTTTGGTGTAGCCTTTCAAGCCCCAGGAAGTCACAGCCTCTGTCTCCAGGCTCGATCCCAGCAGGCGCCGCGGAGCATTAGCTCTACCGTCTTGTCCCGACCAGACCCGGCTCACATTAAAGAGCAGCAGGTATAGGTTACCAGGGAAACACGCACGCCACCTTCAAAGACTATCACCAGCACCTCAGCTAGACCAATAGACATTGCTTAAGGCCAATTGAAGGATAAACAGAGTCCCAGCCAGCTCTCTACATAACAATACAAGGAAATAGGGTCAGGCTCAGTCAAAATGGTGACAATCGCTCTTCTTTCAAGGAGAGCTGCTCAGGTGGTCCTCCACAACATAATATAGCAATGGTGAGAACTACAGGTCAAAAATGCTTTATTTGGTCTGGTGAGATGGCTCAGTGGTCTAAAGCACCTACTTAGAACAAGCTTAGCAAAGCACAGGGACTGCGGTTCGATCCCCCAGCACCACATGCCAGCCAGCCCCGCCCCCTGGTGGGCTGAGCTGGCCACACACACACACACACACACACACATAAATAAATAAAATTTTTAAAAAAATAAATCTTTTTTAAAAAATGCTTTATTTCAGGACCGGTAAGATAGCTCAGCAGATTAAGTGCCTGCTTTGGCAAGCGCAGGAACCAGGGTTCGATCCTGGGTCCTGCATGCCTTGCCGGCCCTGCCTCTGGGGCTCATGGAGCCTGTTACTGAGTCCAGGCATGGTGGTACACACCTGTAATCTCAGTACTGGGTAGGCTGAAAACAGGAAGATCACTACAAATCTGAACTGCGTAGTGAGATACTGTACCAAATACATTAAAAAAGAAAGAAAGAAAGAAAGAAAGAAAGAAAGAAAGAAAGAAAAAAAAAGCTTTATTTGGCCAGGCATGGTGGCTCACTCCTATAACCTCAGTACTCAGGGAGGCTGAGGCAGGCAGATCACAAGTGCCTGAGCAATTTATTGAGACCCTGAGAATTAAAAGGGGGACAGGCATTGTGGCCTATACCTATCATCCCAGCACTTAAAGGCTAAGCAACAAGATCACTGAGTTTGAGGCCAGCCTCACCTATATAGCCAGACCTGTGTTGAAAGAACATGAACAAATAATGGACCAGTACTCTTCAAACTCTCAAGATGGGGCTGAGGATGTAGCTCAGTAGTAGAATGCTGACCAAACGTGCTTGAAGCCCTGGATAAGATCTAACACACACACACACACACACACACACACACACACACACACACACACGCCTAGCTGATTATGGTTTTGCATGCCTGTGATCTCACCAGCATGTAGCACATGGCTGTAATCTCAGGATTCGGGAAGACTGAAGCGGGAGAATAGAAAGTTCAAATCCAACCTGGACAACTAAGCAATTTAGAAAGATGAGAACTAAAATAAGAAAAGGACTGGAGCTATAATAGCTCAGTGTGAAGGCCCTAGGGCAATGCCCAGGATTGACACTAATGCTAGTAAATTCTGAAAACCCACTGCCATTGGACCAGCCAGTGCCCAGTATTGAAGAAAAACAAAAAAGTCCTTTATCATAATATTGGCTTTTTGTATACATACTAAGTGTACAAAAAGTTTGGGGGGGG